AAAAATCTGTTTAAGAATTTGGAAATATTGCCACTCCCCTGCATGTATATATTAGAAACACTTATTGAGACTCACAACAATATAAATAAATTTAAAAAGCATATCGATATACATACGTATAATACAAGGAATTGTAATGATTTGATTATAAGCCAATCAAGAATCAAAACAACTAAAAATAATTCACTTGATGTCTCATTGTATAATTCCATTTGTAAATACTTTGTTTATATTGATATTGAATCAATGACAAAACTGCAATTCAAAAATTTTGCAAAGGCTTTTCTATTGAAATATTGTTTTTATACCGTTGACGAATTTTTAACAGAATTAATTTAATGAATTTTAATGTATTTTTGTCCATGTGTTTTATATGTATTTTTATTGTAACTTTTATTTTATGTTAATTTATATTTTTTATATTTTGTATTTTCATGACTTCAAATGTACCAAATGTATGTAAAGTAGTCAATAAACGATATTCTATTCTATTCTATTCTATTATTATTATTATTATTATTATTATTATTATTATTATTATTATTATTATTATTATTATTATTATTATTATTATTATTATTATTATTATTATTATTATTATTATTATTATTATTATTATTATTATTATTATTATTATTATTATTATTATTATTATTATTATTATTATTATTATTATTATTATTATTATTATTATTATTATTATTATTATTATTATTATTATTATTATTATTATTATTATTATTATTATTATTATTATTATTATTATTATTATTATTATTATTATTATTATTATTATTATTATTATTATTATTATTATTATTATTATTATTATTATTATTATTATTATTATTATTATTATTATTATTATTATTATTATTATTATTATTATTATTATTATTATTATTATTATTATTATTATTATTATTATTATTATTATTATTATTATTATTATTATTATTATTATTATTATTATTATTATTATTATTATTATTATTATTATTATTATTATTATTATTATTATTATTATTATTATTATTATTATTATTATTATTATTATTATTATTATTATTATTATTATTATTATTATTATTATTATTATTATTATTATTATTATTATTATTATTATTATTATTATTATTATTATTATTATTATTATTATTATTATTATTATTATTATTATTATTATTATTATTATTATTATTATTATTATTATTATTATTATTATTATTATTATTATTATTATTATTATTATTATTATTATTATTATTATTATTATTATTATTATTATTATTATTATTATTATTATTATTATTATTATTATTATTATTATTATTATTATTATACTATCGTCCTTTTTGAATAAAAAAGCGGTCTTGAACCTATACAATAGAATAAATGAGGGCATGGACCTCAAAAAATTGAGAACCGCTGGTTTATATTAATACTTTTAATGGCAAACTCAATCCAGTTTTATTTCGTTTGCTCTATTTCTTTAGGTAACTTAAATATTACGTTAAATATGAAATAAATGACACTTTTATGTAATATAAATGAAACAAATACTTATTCACGTCATCATCCCAAACGAATGACGCGATTAGCTCATAGTCTATTGATACAATCGTGATCTTAAAAGCAAGACCCAGCGTTCACGTGAATTCACTCGTTCAAAAAGAAAACCATAAAGTTTATTTTAAAGCTAATTATACTTCGCAAAAAAATGGACCCCGGTATCGAAAATAACATTACAATTCATTCATTATCTATAAGCTAATCATAATTTTTATTTATTAGAAGGGTAGCGATAGTTTTTCTGAAACGATTATTTCCCGTCTGATATTAAGGGTGGTTATTTTTTATACGATAAGAAGTAAAATAACTGATATTCCAAAAATCGTGCCACTTTTTTTGACCATTATTTTAAAATATGATCAATTTAAATCATTTTTACTCTCTATTGGAAATTGTCAAAACTATGTACAAGTAATAGTTTTGTCATATTTATCTTCTAATTCATTAAAACATTTATATAATTCGCTAAAATATATAATATCCATTTGTTTTTATTATACACTTGTCTTGAAAATTTTGAAACTTCGTTCAAATAATTATTTAGTTACCAAGTGATTACCGATAGAACATTATGCGTCAGAATCAGCCGCCAACAGCCGCAGCTGACCACACTAGACACTCAAGGCGACTCAAATCGTTCTGCCTGGCAGGGATCCCAGATGTACTGAGCCTAAATTCGTGATCTTGATCATGAAAAAATCGTGAGATTGTAATTCGCATGCGCAGTTTAGGGAAATAGATATAGTATTTTCGATTTGTATGTGCTTTGTCCGAGCAAAGAGCAAGGAATTGCTGTCTTTTAAATCTCAGTACCTCTCTTATACGTATGATAAAGACAAAAAATAATTAGCAATTGCACTATCGATAATTGATAGTGTGTTACTACCGAAAACTATCGATTATTTTAAGTAGTCATCGATAATTTAAATTTACATGTTTTTAGTAGTTTTAAAATTCATTTTCACGGAATTCGATCAAAAAAACTAAAATAAACCAAGAATGCACTCATGTAGCACTAGATTATAAATATGTTTTAAAGATTACCCTAATTAATTTTTTTTTATGTATGTATAAGTCGGTTTTTTTATGTAAAGACTGGTTATTATTTTGTATTATTCTTAATTTATAAAAATATTAAACAACAAGTATTAGAAATTAAAAATTTAAAAAAACCGACTTCAAAAACGTGAAGATGCCAGCACAACATCTTAACCAAATTTATATGGGACCACCCTTGAGCTACCCCCTTACTAACAAAAAAAGAATCATATAAATCGGCTAAAGTGGTAAAGCATTATCGCTAAACATACATAAAAAATGAAGAGTTTGAAGATTTTCTCATGGACCCAATTATTAGATTTTGACCAAATTTATATGGGACCACCCCTGAAGTACCCCCTTTCTAACAAAGAATCATTGAAATCTGACACCGTGTTAAAGAATTATCGCTGAACATATTTAAAAAAAATATATTGCGACAAATTGAGAACCTTCGACTTTTTTGGAGTCGGTTAAAAAGAAAAGACGTATCAAATAAAAATAACAAAATTACAAGATCAGCAGCCAAATTCTTCGCACGCCAATTATTTCGAAAAAGTTTCCTGCTCATCCTCTCTAATTCAGCAAGCTGCGACCGCTCGTCACTTTCTGAGACGAGACAAAACGTTGCATTTTCAAATAAGTAACACAACACCCCATATCTTATTATTTCTAACACTATTCAAGTTTAAAAAAAAAACAATTTCCGTCCGACATTTTTTAATTAATATGTTTAAAATAATTTCAAAATTAAAGCTGTGCTCCTCGGATTTCAACAATATCCGTCCAGCATTTTCCACTCTACTAGTCACCAAATACTTACCACCTGCCATCACGTGGTTAAAAAACAAGTCATCTAGTAGGTCTCGGGCAGTTAATATAACATTTTAATTCGTCAGATAGTGACAGATTTAGGCGCCCCATTTTCTCATACAAGCCTCGAAGAGGGTTGAAAAGTACATCGATTTTAAGTAGAATGAGTGGCTCCTGGAGATAAAAATAGAATTTTCCATCTGTTATCCCCAAGAGCCACTCGTAAATTTTATTTTATTCTACTCAACATCGATGTAATTTTCAACTCTATTCGAGGCTTGTATGCGAAAATGGGTCGCCTACATCGGTCACTATCTGACGGATTAAAATGTTATATTAACTGCCCTTGTTGAAACCTATACGTCTTCACTGTAGATGTATTAACATTCTGTCACATTGACAGAAGCCAAACAAGTTGATAAAATAATAACATATCAATCACTTATTAGAGTAAACAAACCTTATTTATGTGTAATTTTTTTGAAATTCAAATGATACTTTATAAAATTCATTTGATATATTTTGAAATAAAAATTACTATTTTGAAAATTAAAATGGTAATTTTTTAAATTAATTTGATTAATTCAAAATACATTTTATACTTTTGGAAATTAAAATTACAAATTTAAAATACAATTGATAACTTTTGAAATTAACTTTACGCTTTTTGAAATACAAATGATACACTACGAAAATCAAGTAGTTTGGAAATTCAAATTATGCTTTACGATATTCAAATGAATATTTGGAAATACAGTTGGTATATTTTGAACTAAAATTGGGAAAGGTGTAGATCCACTGAGTACGAAACAGACATGGATGCTTCAGGCCCACCAGCATGATTTTTGAAGATGAAAGAGGAAAAGGAAAGGCGCCAGAAGGAGAAAGAGGACTAAAAGGAAAGGCGTAGGAAGAAAAGAAGAGGAGGAAAAGGAAAGGCGTAGGAAGGAAGAAGAAGAGAAGAGGAAAAAGCGAGAAGATGAGGAGAAGAAGGAGAGGCATAGAAAAGCGGAAGTGGAGGTTATAAATGGCTTGGTACAAATTTAAAAAGGTAGGTCAGCTGAAGAGTCAAATAATCTCTTAGCACAACAGCAAGAGAATTTAAAAACTAATTTAAAACAACAAGAAACGGTTAGAGTAGAGTTGGAAAGGCAAATTAGAACTGAACTAGTTGAGTTAGAAAAAAGAATTCCTAACTTTTTGTTTACAATAGCAATACCTACAAGTACGTATGCTTAGTTTTTCCGGAATCGAAAAGATTTCAAACTAGATATTTACCAAATTGTGGTTGTAGAAAAAGTATAGTGTGCCACACGTTCAGAAAAGCACTTGTTGCACAATATACTATTTCAAACTTTCGTACCATACCTTTTCCTTACTACTTTTAGCAAATGCTATAAGCGTTCATCGAACTAAACGAACTTCGTTTTGTGACATTGACAATATGACATCGGCGGATCATAGGAAAAAACCGTTATCAAAAAAGCTTTTAAAGCGAATTAATGCACCTGCGTGGGTTACTCCTGTTAAGCAGATATCAGAGATGACGTCGCCGTAGAAGAGATTCCCCCGAAAATCGGGATAAGACTCCCGGTATATAAAAGCTATTGGAGGATATAGTGAACGCCACAAGACATCTTCATTCTTTCCCGATAAAAGGATGCGTTCACTCATTGTTTTAATCGCGGTTATCGCCGCTCTCTTTTTAGTTGTCGTTCATAGTGCACCTAAAGGGGTAAGTTCTTTTTTTTATAACGATTTATATTAAGTAAGCTGTATTTAGTGGATTATAATTTTACTCAAAGTTTTTCATTGGCGAATTAAAAAAAAAAAATAAGCATGACAGATTTTAAAGGTAAATTTTGCGTTTATTTACTTTGAAATAACTTCATATACCAAAAATTTGTTTTTAAAGTTTGGTCGGATTTTCACACGAATTCATTTTCGTAAAAATTTTATAATTAAAAAATATGTATTATTTTAAATGCAACGCCCAGTATATTTTATTAACATCGTTTATTACATTTTGTTCTTTAAATATACATATATTTTTGAGTTTTGAAGAAATTAAATTATTTGCAAATTTATCACGAGAATTCATGCATGTTCTCATTAAATATCTTACAGAATTTTTTGATGAAATAATTTGAAAACTATTATTCATTATTTGAATTACAATTATCGTATAGTACCTACTGGCATTCTAGGTTGGTAATGGGTAAACTATTGTTTTATGATAAAAATTAAGAGTTGAAAAAACTATTTAGGGGTATACAACAATGACAATAAAGGTTTTAAAAATGAGCGAAAATATAAATAATTTAATTAAAAATAATAGTTGAATCATACAATTATTATCGGATCACCCTGTATATATAAAATATTTTTGACATATTTTGTTTTCAATGTCATTGCTGAATATCTTTAAATACTATTCTTATTTTTGTAAAATAAGAGTTATAGGACTACGACAAATGTTTGACAAATATTTGTCAAACCCTGTATATTATACCATAATAAATAAATGGTCCTCTCTATCTACTAAGCAAAAGCAACTGTTGGATAAAAGTTCAAAAATTATAATTTATTTTCTTAATTACCAGAAACCATAAAAACGATTAAAAATACAATATTTAAAAAAGGAATAAAAACGGATTATAGAAACAGACAGATTACTACTAATTTAACTAATTTAAAAAATAAATAAAAATAGATATTTATATTTAAAAAAATATACATTTTTATATTATTTTTATTATATTTATTATTGTTTTCTAAAAAAGAGAAAAGTATTAACCTATACATTTTCCAAAAACATATGAATTCTATTATTTAATGACATAAGATAATAAAGCATTTTCCTTTTAAAATATTAGATATTGTTTTAATTTTACTATGACCAATTTTCATAAAAATTTAAAAGATAACATTTTGACCAATAAAATTATTTAGTGAAAACCTAATTTTTCTAGAGTTAATAATAAAAAAGAATAATATTAAAAAGTAATAAAATTTTAACAAAAAACTAATTTTTAAAAGATTCTGATATTTAAAAAATAATAATATTTAAAAATACTAATAATAATTAAAAATAATAAAATTTAAAAATACTAATAATAATAATAATTTAAAAACACTAATATTTTTAAATACCAATTTTTAAAAATACTAATTTTATAAAATAATAGTGTTTAAAAATTCTAATTTTTAAAAACACTTATTTTAAAAAATACTAATATTTAAAAATACCAATATTCAAAAATACTACATTTTAAAAATACTAATATTTAAAAATACTAATATTTAAAAATACGAATATTTTAAAATACAAATACAAGTATTTAAATGTACTAGTATTTTAAAATACCAAAATATTCATATTTATAAAAATGTTATAATTTAAAAATATTAAAATTTAAAAATATTAATACAAGAAAAGCCATATTATATTTTATTCAAGCAGTATTTTAAAAAACTAATATTTAAAAAATACTGTTATTTAAAATATTACTATTATTTAAATAAGAATAATATTAAAAAAATAATAATATTTAAAAAAATACTAATAAAAGAAAGTCTACATTTAAATAGGCTACATTATGGTATATACAAATTTATGTTTTAATCAAGCAGTATTTAAAAAAAAATCATGCTATTCAAAAAATCACTAATATTTAAAAAAAAAATATAATTAAAAATATTATTTAAAAAAATTGCTATTTAAAAAAATACTATTTTAAAAAAACACTATTTAAAAAATGCTATTTAAAAAATACTATTTAAATAAATGCTATTTAAAAAATACCATTTAAAAAATACTTATACTTATTAAAAATAGGCTAAATTCAAATAGGCCATATTTTGATACATATTTATTATTTGTACAAGCAATTATGCTACTTATTACTCTTCACACAGTAATCGGTGAAGAGTATTATGCAATAATTGGTTCCTTCCGTCCGATGACGTTTTTGTCGTTTTTGTCAGCACGATAAGTCAAAAACGAAGAAGAATATTAATTTGAAAATTTCAGGAAAATCAAGCTGTATAAGGGGACGAAGCCTATTGATTTTGAAAAAAAATCTGAATAAAAATGGGGGGGTTAAAGGAGTTTGAAATATTAAAAAAAATCCTAACTAAAAACCAAAAATGCTATCAACTTTTTTAGTAAAAATCAAGCTCTATAAGGTGACAAAGCATATTAATTTTGAAATAAATCTAATTAAAAATGTGGGGGTTTAAGGAGGGTTAAAATTAAAAAAAGAAATCGCAACTCAAAAACGAAAAAAGATGTCAACTTGAATTTTTTTAGCAAAAATCAAGGGAAAAGGACTTTGTTTTAAAAAAATATAATTAAAAATGTGCGGTTTAATGGGGAATGAAATTAAAAAAAATATATAAATCAAAAATGAAATGCGATATCACCATGAAATTTTTAGTAAAAATCAAGCTCTATAAAAAATATTCTGAATAAAAATAAGAATGGGGGTTAAATTATTAAAAAACTCAGAAACAAAAACGATATCAAATTAATCGTCACGAAAAATCAAGCTTTATATGTGGATGAAACCTATTGATTTATAAAAAAAATTTACCGAAAATGGGAAACTGCGAAAAGTATAATATAGAATGTCAAGCATAAAATATCTTCATTGAAATGTTTATTTATTGAATGAATTCATTATTAAATCCCCTATAATCTAGTACTAAAAATAATATCCAGGAAAGATAGATTATTCTTCACTGAAAATCTATACTAACTAAATATCCGATTTATATACATTTATCGATGTTTAATAAGAATATTTCCAACAAATTTAAATCTTATTGATGAATATTTTAGTGAATTAGCGACCAAAACTCATTTATATTCCACGGCCCCAAAATCTTTAATGTTTTTCCAAAAATAAAACGAAAAAACCAATTTTAATAGTTTCAGAAAAGAAGTAATGAATATCCAAAAAATACTCAGATAAATTTCCTTTATGGGCAATTCTTGCATAACTGTGATTTTTTATGTCCAGTATTTTATTTATAGGTTAGCATAAGTTTTCCTCGTCAAAAAGTTATTAATATTGTAAATTTAGAGGTATTTTACAACTGACATTATGAATTAGATCATAAACCTTCGCAAATTTTTTTTTGCACCTAAATATACTCAAAATGTCAGTACCGTGGCATGTCCGATTATTATTTTTAAAATTAAACATAAATTTCTATCAAAATTAATTTTTTAATATAAAATGTACCTCTTATAACTACAATCTAATGCATACTGCATTGAATTTTATTGCAATTTTATACCGATCTTTCGATTAGTAAAAAAAAAATAATCATTTATATGTCAGTACCGTGGAAATAATATCAGTACCGTGGCATTAAACTTTTAAAATTTTGTCACAGTTTTCGTTGTGTTGTAGCTGTAGTAAAACCAGTTCACAGGCTTAGTTTTGTGAATAAATAGAAAATAAAAACGCGCAGAACAAACGTTTTAAAACATTTTTAATGTTAGAAAAATTTAAATTGTAAAAATCGCAGTTACACGAGAATCACCCATCTACTGATTTGTGATTGCTTATTTTTCATTATCAACAATAATTACATGTACTGTAGGTAATTAACAAGACTCTGCTTAATGGCCATCTGATCATCACTCTTGAATATTAAAACAGTGAAATTAAAACTAATTAATTAAAATTTGTTAAATTGCCTTAAATAGTTATTACATTGTTTAAAATTTATTAAAATGCTCTACGCCACAAGTCTGTGAAGATTATTATAAGTTTGCTTTGTCGGTCCGTTCGTCCAATGTCACGTTTTTTTGTCCGCATGATAAGTCAAAAACGAAAATTTCAAGAAATATCAAGCTCTATAAGGGGACGAAGCCTATTGATTATGAAACAAAATCTGATTAAAAATGGGGTTGAAATTTAAAAAAAATCATAAATCAAAAATAAAAGCTATATCAACATGAAATATCTAGTAAAAATCAAGCTCTAAAAGAAAACGAAGCCTATTGATTCCGAAATAAAATTTCAGGTGCCTATAATAAGAAAAGTATTTGTAAATCCATTTAGAAAATGTTTTATTGAACAACATACATCATATATTTGTTAAAATATAAGCTGATTTACTTTAACACCTTGTCTATATCATAAGATAAGTTGAAATTGCTTGTATGCTTCATTGATAATAGTTTTATTGTAGTTACTAATATTAATAACTCTATATATAATTATTAAATTAAAACGAATTTAAGTTTAAATGAAATCCTCTGCAGCGTCATTTTCACAATACCTCCCTGTTATTTACTATACCTACTAAAATACCTAATTTTTGCTTCACACATCATTAAAATCAGTTGTTTATTTCTATTAAAGTACCTACATACCCCAAATATTAAATTAGACATGAATTTGGATACAAACGTAAGCGATTTGGGTTTTTTTTTTTTTCGAAAATTTCATAGCGAATTTGATAGCCAAAGGCAGCTAGATTTTCGTCTGCCTTTTAAATTTTAAAATTAAGTATTTGATATCAAACAAAATGAGCTATAGTTTGCTCATCACACTTCATGTTTACTGAATAGTCATCTCGTTCGAATTAATTTTTGTGAAATTCTGTACGCCTCTGCTCTCAAAAAGCTGCTGATTTTTTTGCCTTTGGATTTTTAAAATCAACATTAAATAAAGAAATAAAACTGGCCAAGTGCGAGTCGGACTTGGGCATGAAGGG